TCTTTGTTGTCAAAAGATTGCCAAAAGATTGATATTTTAACTATTTTGAACTTGCTTAACTTTTCTGATATTCTTTTATAGAAGCTCGAATTTTTTAATCAAGTGTTGTAGTTCTTGTTGTCACTGGAAGCTTTTCAACTTTTGACGATGTAGAGCTTTTTTCTTATAAGAGAAAGTCCTTCATCACAGCATTTTCGACTTTCGGAGTTAAATTCAGAGTTAAAACTTTACCTTCACATGGATTTTTTCGAGTTAAAGTCAACTAGTTTACATCATTTATTTTCTATTCAACCAGGGCTGCTCCAAAAAGCCAAAAAAGCCTAAATTCATAGTCTCTTTCACTGAAAGCCAAATTTTTTCGAATCGACTTTTTGGTATGGCTTTGATTCGACTTTGGAAATCAAATACACAGCCTTGATTCAGACTTCTCCTAAAAGCTTTTACAAATGAACAGTGCTAGTCAAAAAAAGTTTGAAATCACCCCTTCTAATATTCTAAATCTTCTACTTCTACTCATTCCTATGTGTGCCTGTGTGAGTGGATTTCCTCGCGTGTATCGCATTTCCGATGCTCGTCGAGGATGCCCATCTTTCTCTTTCTTTCCCGTAAAAAAAACGCATCGACCTTCTCCTCCTGAATTCTCATGGGATATCCCAAAATTCTTCAAAAAAAAAAAACACCAAAAGATTCTTTATTTTAAAAGTTTTGCTTTAAAAAATGACGTTTCTTCCAAAAATTTCTTCAATTTTTGATTCCGGGTTTTTTCGACTCGTCACGGACGGCTGATTCAATTCAGCTGCTTCCTTTGATTTTCGCGGAAAGCGGCCTTTCTTCAAACTCAGTTTTCTTTTTCTTTTCGAACTTCTGGAAGCTCTTCTCAGTCGATTTTCTTTCTTTTTCAGCTTTCAAACAGCAAATTTTCTATTTAAATTTGAACGCAAAGGGGAGTGAAATTTAAAGTATCATGTAGTTCTTAATGAAAAGTTTTGTCAAGTAGACAAATTGTTTGATTTAGTTCGACAAGAGATTTTGAACTCTTTTTGATTAAATTGTTTTTTTACGTTTCATCATTCAAATTTCATCTTCCTTTTTCATCAGCTTAAAACAAAACAAAACATGAACTTGAACTTTTGAAGCGGTGATGAAAGTTGATATCGACTGGTCTAACATTTCAAAATTCAACTGATTTAAAATTTCAAAACGAGTTCAGTTTTATGATTGTAGGACATTTGATCCGCGTCCCGCCTCTTTTGCCATTGGCAGTCTAACTTTGAGCTCAAATATCTTGGTGTTGGGCTGTCCAATTTACCGTATTCTCTCTAATAGTAGTGCACTCTCTAATAGTATTGCGGTCCGAGAGGGGGTTGAAAAAATAGTAGTGCATCCTCGAAAATTTGAATTTCTGGTGCTTCTTTTTCATCTTAACCTTTTTGACTTTATGTTTATGTGACATTCTAAAGCTATACAAGCAACCAAAAGTGAGGCTTTTTTATTCATTTATTAACTATACTTCACATGAAAAAGCTAGCAAAAAATCTAAAATTGTTGTGCAAAGTGCAAAAACATCTTTTTGTTGTTTCCACACATTGTTTTAGTGGCACATTAACTTTGCTTACGAGGTTCGCGCAAAGCTATAGTCATTTTTTACTCTTATATACCTGTATAAAGCTTGGGAATTGACTTACCCTTTGCAGCGCTAAGCTTTATTGTTATCAAAACTCAATCCTAGAAAATAATCCATCATGTTCGATTTTAATCTTATATAATTTTTGTTAATGTGGAAAGGTGACGAGGAATTTTCGGCATCAGAGGGATGGCTAAATTTATTCATGTCAAGACACAAATTGTCAACGCGCTGGCCCACAACTATATGTCAAAAGGAGAACGTAAAAGAATTGCACCAATTTTTGGAACAAATCTTATATCTGTCTTACTTTGGTAAATGATAAAACTCTTTAATAGTAGTGCACTCTCTAATAGTATTGCGGTCCAGGAGGGGGTTGAAAAAATAGTAGTGCGCACTACTATTAGAGGGTATACGGCAAATAGTTTTGGTACCAATCGACAGAGAAAGACTTGGCGCATCCAATGATACCAAGAATATTTGAATTGACCAGTCCAACACCAAGATATTTGAACTCAAAGTTAGATTGACAATGGCAAAAGAGGCGGGACGCGGATCAAATGTCCTAGGTTTTTATCGACTTCAAGAACTCAGTTAGTTTTCTCCGCCAAAATTTTTGTTCTTTATTCATTTCCCATTTTTTTTCGCCTTTCTTTGCCTCTTACTTTCTCGGTTGCGCGGTGCTGTGAGAATAAATTCTCGGCTTGGCCGCATCGACTTCTTGTCTTTTTCCAATTTTTCTCAGAAAAAGATCTCTCTTTTTAATGGAATTTCTTAAACCTTAAAAAAAGCCCATCTAGGTTTTGAAATCCAGGAAAATACCTGAATTGGGTAAATTTAGCATAACTTCTCTAGCAAAAGCAGCTTTTCTTCTTTTCAACAAAGCATTCGAAAACAAAGCTGTGATTGCAAGAAATCAATATTTTGTGGTTGGCAACGTTCGGGGGTTTTTCCTTTGCAAAACACCCTTCAACCTCTCCTTTTCTCAATACAAAGCCGCCTGTTTGCGCTGTGATTCTCTGATTCTCTTCACCTTTTTTACCAGCCGGCCGCTGACCATTGCCTCATCAAAAAAAGAGTTGTTTACAACGATTTAAATAAATACATATGACGAAATTTTCATATTTTAGAGCTTTTTCGACTTCATTCAACTTTTTGCTGACTATTCTTGATTCCTATTAAATTTTTGCATGTATAAATGACATATTTTGACGAAGAAATTATCATTACACTGAATATTTTTTAAATGGATTTGCTTTTGCTTTATCAATAAGGTATTTTGAGTACTTTCACATCTTTTCGCCAACAGGCAAATTCCGGGATAAAGTAAGATGTTGAAAAGATTAAAAGATAACTTTTATTCGAAATTTCAATCTTAGATAATACTTTAGGTGCAGCATATATAGTGTTGCGCTCTACAAAAGAATGATTTTCTCAAAAACCAAGAGTTGAAAGTTCTTTTCGTTTAGATATTTAAAATCTACGAACATTTTTTTCACTAGATTCATGAGTTTCTTTAACTAAGACTTTAAACGTGATTGTTGCCGAAAAAATGTAATTTGTCAAAAATGTGGGCATTTTTTTAACCAAGACAACCTCGCATTTGCAATAATAGAGCTCAAAAAGCAATACATTTATAGTAAATAACTTTAAAGACGTAGTAATGCAGAAAAGGACGATTTTTTAAAAGCCTTAAACTTGAATTTACCGTATTTAGTCTAATAGAAGCCATGTGCTTCTATTTTTCAACCACCCTCCTAAAATTCCTTATATTGGAGACTGTGCTTCTATTTTTCAAACGCGCCCCAAAACAATCAAATAGCTTACAAGAAGTTACTATTTTCAAATCAGAGATATTTATGATTAATTCAAGAATTTCATTCAAGTAAAACAACATTTAAACGTAGGCAACAATCAATTAGCAAAATGAAAAGCATTTTCAGGCAAACATATCAGTTAAATCATTATCATCGATATCATTTTTGTTAATATCGCCGACTTCAATGAAGGCATCACTGTCTAGCACCTGTTTATCTTCATCTTCGTAAAGATCGATTTTCTCCAACAAGTGAGCGATCATCTCCTCGTTCCGAGCCTGATCTCATTCTGCTCGCACATTTCTTGCCTTTTCGTGAATCAACCTTCTCGAAACTTTGTTCCTCTTCTGCCGCTCGCTTTGGACCGACCCTGTCGGCCAGTTCTTGATTGATTTGTTTGTTTGTAAGTTTCCTCCCGGCTCCTTTCAATCGCTTTAACGATTTCCTCATTTTTCGCAATTCTCTTCCTGTAAAACCTATCTATGGGTCATTGCTTGATCTACACGGAATTTATTGGTCACATCATTTTTGGAGATCCTCTTTGCATATTCGATGGCGTCCAGATTGAAATCAATCAAATAAGCCTTCCGCTCTTGAACAATTGCTGGTCATCGAGAGAATTCGAGTAATCGTTTTCCGGTTCCGGCTTTCTATTCATCACTTCATTTGCGTTTTTCTTCCGTTGTTCTCTGAAAAAATCCTCGTGTTCGGCGTGTTCTCGTAGAGCTCGATATTCCTTGAGAGAATCCGCACGAATTGTTAGTCGCTCAGTCATCACACCTAAAAATAAGCACATTGGCAATTTTATAAAAACAAAGAAAGAAGAGAAAAAGTTTAATAAACGTACAAAATAATGAGGATTGTAGAAGAATTTTGCAAGAAAAATGAATGAAATAGTGTACGTAGCAAAGTAGTGCATTTAATTAGAGCTTTTATTAGAGACTGTGCTTCTATTTTTCAATCCCCTTCCTAAAATTGCTTCAATTGAAGACTGCGGTTCAATTAGAATAAATACGGTAACTGTTTTTCAGCATCGTGCCCCATAGCATTTTTGTACTCGGCTAGGGTTGTTAAAGTCATTAGAAAATGTTACGGTTTTTCTATTCTATGTAAAAATACGCGTAGATTTTTTAATTAATTGTTGTTTTTCAGCTTAATTTAATCTCTTAGAAAGCCAAAAAAAATGTATTAATGCTATATATGCCGTGCCCTGTAACAAATAAACTTTTATCTCATATCAAGCATATAAAATTTTGATCGTTTTCCTCCCCATTCTTTCCCCAAACGCTTTGAACAGCGCAATCGATTTATTCATCCGGGACAAAAACAGTGTCCTCTCCAAATACAAATAATTCTCCTCTCTTTCAATCTTTCAACCGCACTTCTTTTTTCTTCATCTTTTTTTTCAAATTTCTCATTTCCACCCCCACGTTGTAATATGTGGCGCTATTTTCCCTCTAGAAAAATCAATCCAAACCGTCTTTTTTCTGTCTGGATTTACATTCTTTGTTCATTTCCTATATTTTTTTCTAATTTTTTAAAATGAACTCTTTTTCAGAATGTCTGCGAAAGCAGTCAGCGAACTATCAGGCAAAGAGCTTCTTTACAGGTGAGGGAAAATGTGATTTTTTAAAAATATCAGACAAAAGCTTAAATGGATAACTTTGTAAAGAGATTTGTTCCGTTTCTTCGAAATTTTACGAGTCGCAGTTTTCCATTAAAACCCGTAGAATTCTAATTCTTGGCTTATTTCTAAAGATGGACTTATTTCTAAAGATTGGATCTAGTACTAAAACCTGCCTTTTACAATAATTAGTGTCAGACCCAGTGATCCATTGCACCATAGTAGATTTATTTATTGGCTTTCATTGTACTTATAATAACAGTTTTGTTTTAGACACCTAGAACCAACAGGTCTCATCGATGCGCCTCGTCTACTCCGATTGAATGAAGGAGACGATTTCGGAGCGGTTTTGAACGATTTTCGACGACAGCACAGTGCACCCGCTGAGGTTAGCATTGAAACAAGAAGCAAATCTTTGAGATTAATGCTTAAAGCAAATGATTAGAGTAATGAGATAATGCTAAGTTAATGCTTAAAGCAAATCTTTAAGATTAATGCGATTGTTTTCAGAAGCTTGTCATCAAGCCCGATCAATTGATTAAACGACGCGGAAAGCATGGACTTGTCAAATTTGGACCAATCAATGAAATCGAGAAGAATTTTAAAGAATGGCAAGGAACCTATGTGAAAGTGAGTACATTTTGAAGCAGCTATGTTAACTCTGCCCCTTTTTCTCTTTGTTTGCCGTTGACAATCTACGAATTTTGCTTGTACTTTGGCCGGGTTTGTTTGAACAATGTTGATTTGCTTTCATTCGATAGAAAAATTGATTTCGAGTCAAATAAAAGTAAATTCAACGTTTTTCAAACAAATCCGGCTAACAAGGAAATGGCGGGAAGTGAGCGTTAGATTTCGAGACAAAAAATGAGGTCGAGTACGGCGAGCACGATAGAGTTTTTAGTTTTTGGGAACGGGCGATAGTTTTTGAGAAAAACGCGTTGCAAATTTAGGCATCTACTTGGAAAACGGAGCCTAGGGGTTAAAAGTGGCTTCTCGCCTTTTTTGACAAAAAGCAAAATGGTGTAGTGGATAGTGGGTTGGGCCGTGAGACTAATGTGATCTTTTGCTCTCGGGTTCGGTCCCCGTGTACGGATTTTTGTGCGGATTACTCGACTTGTGTTTGCATTTGTTTTCTTCCCGAAATCCCAATAACACTTCTGACCATTTCCTTGTAAGATATAAGCAAAATATGTAGATCGCCAACGCAAAATGGACCAAGAAAGAGTCGGAGTTAAAATACCTGGTTTGAAGTGAAGCTAAATTCATTGATGCTTTGGCATAACTTGATTTAGGTTGGAAAGACGACCGGTCGCCTCAGAACATTCATCGTCGAGCCTTTTGTTGGCCATTCGGACTCGGATGAGTTCTACATTTGCATCTACAGCGGACGAGATGCGGACACGATTATGTTCTACGAGCAAGGTGGAGTCGATATTGGAGATGTCGATCAAAAGGTAAAACCACCTTTTTAAGCTAAAATCATTTGGTAAGAGTTGCCAGCAAAAAAGATATTAGTAGTCTTATTTAAATCTAAAACAAGCAACTTTATAAGCTGCTATTTAGCTTTAAAATAGCTCATGATTAGAGTGTTTTCCTCTCAAAAAAGTCATTATTTGAATAAATTTGCTCAAATAATTTTTTTATTTGAATAACGCGTCAAATAAAGGTCAAATCAACGCCAAATAAGGCGTTCTAAAAAGCGCTTTAAAATTCTGTTGCAAAATTGCGAGCTATTCGGTTTTTCTTTTGTGGAAAACTTTTCCAAATAAGATATTCAGTCAATCGAATGAATAGTTTTCTTCGCAGCCCTATGTTCAATTTCTTCAATCGACCATAAAGCGCTTCTCGCAATTTTTTCGCTTTTTTCATTGTTAAATAATATTAGCAAAAACTACGGTATACCGTAGTTTTTGCATATTATTTAACAATACCGCAGTACTCTTTTATTGATAGTGCATTTAAGATGCCTTATTTGAAAGGAACACATTTTACTCATGGCACACGAAATTCTATAGAATTCAGCATATCTACCTCGTATCTCATAAGTTCTGACACTTTTTCTGTAGACAGTAATTTTTGACGCGAAAAACTCACGCCGGATTCTGAAAATTCGGATATTTTTATCCCATTATGCCCATTTTCATAAAAAAATTTCAACTTTTAACAACTTTTTGACTAGGATCATTTACATCCGGGTCTAATCGCTAAGGATTTTTGCGAAAGTTGACTTAGACTTTGCAGAATCAAGAACTGTTGTTACCATCTGCTAGACCAAGGTTTTTTCTTGAAAACAAGCCATAAACGATGTTTATACCTCAAAAACAAAGGTTTTTCATGCGATTCTATGGAGGACACTCAAATCTCAAAGGAAAAAAGCGCTGTGACGACCTTTAAACATCCTCATCAAAAAGTTGTTTAAAACAACTTTTTGCAGTATATTGGGGTAAAAATGTTTTCATAATTTGGGTTAGTTTTCAAATACTTTGTTTTCCGAGTCGGAATGTCCGTTTACAAAAAGTGTTAGAACTTTTGGGATATCTTGTACTTTTCAAAGTAAATTACCGTGCCACCAGGCAAGGCAGTTACGCAAATTTCTTGTCATTCGTTTTCAAAATCATTTTCAACTTTCATCTCGTTTAAGCGTTAGATGTTTATCGAATCTTTCAGGCAAGAAGACTCGAAGTCTCGGTTGAACTCGATGAGGGGAAGATGACACCAAAGGATGACGAGTTGAAGGCACTACTCGGAAATCTCGGAGAAAGAACATCGTTTGTAAATTGAATATGAGATTAACTATAGATCTTTCCAGAATTGTCACCCAATTTGTGAAGCAGCTTTATCACATCTACAAAGAATGCCACTTCACCTATCTTGAAATCAATCCTCTAGGTAAAACCTTGCGGTTCTAGATCAAATCTAACAGTGACTTCAGTGGTGGTCAACAACAAAGTGCACATTCTTGATTTGGCTGCGAAACTCGATGAAACAGCTCTTTTCTTGTGCAGTGAGAAATGGAAAGGAAGAGATGGAAGCCTGGTCGAGTTCCCAGCGCCATTTGGACGAGATCTCACAACAGAGGTAGAAAATACCAAAGTACTCTCGAGAGAATTTGTTTCCTACTTTTAAACTTTGCATCACATTACAGAAGTCATTACAAGAGTAACTAACAAGCCAGATTTCACTAGCGGGTTCGAATCCCTGTGCTGAACATTTTTTTATCCCCCTCCCCCGCTTATAATAGGACTAGCGTTTCCAACTTTCTTAATGTTAACTCTAAGATTTATTTCATGTTAAATTTTGCACTACCGTCATGGTCTTGTGGTTAGAAGTCTTGTATCCTAGTCGGGCTAGATCACGGGCTCGATCCCAGGGGCCAGAGAATAGGGCTCTTTTTCCCATATACATGGGTTTTTCTCTACAACATCTTTAGGGGTATTAGGGCATTAGGGGTTGTGTGTTAAATTATGTATTTGTTTGTGTTACATTATTCATGTTGAGTAAATGTCTTACAGGAGCACTACATTGCCGATTTGGACTCGAAGACCGGCGCCTCGTTGAAGTTGACGATTCTCAATAGAGAGGGACGCATCTGGACGATGGTTGCTGGTGGTGGAGCAAGTGTTGTTTTCACGTGAGTTCAGAATAGTTCGTGCGAATATAAATCAAACAGACTATACTGACAGGGTTACTGGACGTGCCTCGCCCCCTTTGCCATTGGCAATCTAACTTTGAGCTCAAATATCTTGGTGTCGGGATGTATAATTGAAATGGTTTTTGGTATCATTGGATGTGCCAAGTCTTTCCTCTGTCGATTGATACAAAAACTATTTAAATTGAATAACCTAACACCAAGATATTTGAGCTCAAAGTTAGATTGCCACGGATGGAATTTCAGAGACACCGTTTGTGATCTTGGTGGCTCAAACGAGTTGGCCAACTATGGAGAGTATTCCGGAGATCCATCCGAATCGCAAACTTATGAGTACGCGAAAACAATCCTCTCCGTGATGACCGAAGGAAAACCGAACCCAAAGGGAAAAGTGCTGATCATCGGTGGATCGATCGCAAATTTCACCAATGTTGCGAAGACTTTTGGGGTATTGATTTCATTGCAATTCTTGGGATAAAACCGTTTCAGGGAATTGTGAAAGCCTTTGAGTCTTTTGTCGACAAATTGAAGGAGCATCATGTAACGATTTATGTGCGCAGAGGTGGCCCAAATTATCAACAGGGATTGCGAAAGATCAAGGAAGTTGGTGAGTGAATTTGATCGGATCGTTTTTTGAGATCTTTATCGCAATCGATAGCTAACGAGATACTGAAAGGCGTTGTGGTTTTTGTTTTTTAAAAAGTATTTTTTTGCAAGGTATTAATCAGTTTTGTGAAAGGAAGCCGACCATTAAAAAACGGCCTCGTCGCGAATGTATTAAAGGTGCAACTGGTCGAAAAATTTAAAAGTTTAACAATCAACAAGAATTTCCGGGGTTCCAATGCAAATCCATTCCTTTCAGCTGACCGTCTCGATTTGCCGATCCACGTTTTCGGACCAGAGACTCACATGACAGCAATCGTCGGAGCAGCTCTCGGTGTTCGTCCAGTGCCCGCCGCTCCGGTTGCCCCTCACACAACTGGTCAATTCTTGCTATCCCCTGAAAGAAATGTAAGTACAGTTGCTTAAAAGTACAATTAGGTAAATAATTCTAGCTTAAACTTTGTCCAAACCGATGGGTTTAAGTACAGTCACGGGTAATGATAACAAGAATTGTAGGCGCAGACTGTAGACAGATTGTAAAGAGAATTGTAGGCGGTAGACGCCCGTAAACCAGGCTCCGGGTTCACGAATCGCTAGATCTAAATCGTATATCTAGCGAAATTCGCTAGATTTACCCCTCGGTTTACAATATTTTGGGAATAACTCTTTTAATTTTAACATTTCGCAGCTGTTTTGGCTTTTAGAAACCAGATGAAACCCTGCTTCTGCTCGTACAAAAATGATTTTGGCTAGTTGGCAGGCCACTAAGTAAAACAACACTAAACTTTCAGCAATCATTGGCGCTTTTTACTCATTTTTTCTTACCGATCTTTCATAGGAGTAACATGATTTCTGTAGCCGTTTGTAGATCTAGCGGTTGATGAACCTGGGCCCAGGTCAGAGCTTGACTTCAGAAATTTTCTGTGAGCCAGGTCAATAGCCGGACTTGGCTTTGAGCTGACTGATCGTACATAATAAATTTACGGTAAATAGCAAACCGTGTATTGTTTGCAGCCAGATTGTCCAGTTTAACCTCTAGAATCGCAAGAGAAGGGCCACTGGCATGGAGCCCGAGTTACTAAATGGCGGCCCAAAGCTGATAATTCTAGAAGAGGTTTTTAGTGTGCTCGCATGCTCCGAGATTTTTCAAACCCTATCATTCACATTTTATTTTAAGCAAAAAGAATCCTTTAACAATTCAACCTTTTCAGACAGCTGGCACTATTCGCAATATTGACTCATCGGTCGATCTCCGTTCAGGAGTGCAACAAGAAGTGAAAGCTGTTGGGAAAGAGCTTTATGAGAGTCTCTTTGAGAACAATACAAAGGCTGTGATTTGGGGACAGCAGTTGAAGGCTGTGCAGGTTAGGAAATGAACAAATTGTATAATGTGGTTATGAAAGTTGATTTGTCTTGTTTTTCGGTTTAAATTGTGCTCAAAATCAAAGAGACACCAGGTGCACTCAAATGTAAAAGCAAGTGTGCCAAAAAAGAAGTGTTTCCATGTTTGAACAGATTGCAATCACCTTTAGCAACCAGTTTTTCAGCAAAACATTCCAGACAACTTATTCAAATAAGTTCTTAGCTATTAAGCATTCTTTTATATACCTTTATCTACGCTCAAATACCGAAAACTCAAATACAGACGCTCCAATACCTTCATCATACAACAGTTGAGGCAAAGCACTAACTCCTAGTCACCTTATCTACCTTTTCTTGCCAAATCCTTTCTTCACTTTATTACCTCAACTATCTTATGACAAAAGACAGTAACTAGTGAGATATTACGATAAATTGTAGCTAATTTACTTGTTAGATACATGTTCCCTTGCTAGTACTTTATCTATAAACCAGCAAAAAGCTTTTGGAGCAAAAAGCAAAAGAATTGGTGGCAAGGGGAGTCGAACCCGCGACCTCTCTCTCTCTTCCGTTCGTTTGAGAGACGCGCGTATTAACCACTCGGCCATGCTATAGTGGATAGCGCAGTGCGAGCGCACTTCTCTCTAGTTCACACGACTCGGGTTCGACTCCCCGCGTAGACACTCTTGGTTTTTTAAAAATTTAAAAATATTTTGCACCACTACAAGAAATTCGAAGCCAAACTAACTAGAAGTCATTTGAAACGGCCCTCTGGGCACGAATGAATAGACAAACAGAAAGATCTAACTCTTTTATACTAGATGCTCGGATCTACTAGATCTTTAGGGAATGCTCGATTTCGACTACGTTTGTCGTCGTGCTTCTCCATCAGTCGTAGCCTCCACTTATCCATTCACTGGTGACAGCAAACAGAAGTACTACTTCGGGCAGAAAGAAATCCTCATCCCATCGTATCAAAAGATGAAAGACGCCTTCTCTTCTCATCCAGATGCAACTGTCATGGTAATCAGCTAATCACCAAATAATCAATAATCATACCGTAAATACGGTAATTGGACCCCACCCCTCTAATAGTACCCCACCCTAGAGGGGGTGGTAAAAAATAATACCCCACCCCTCTAATAGTACCCCACCCCCACCTAACGTGTAACTACAAACAACTCTTTTAAAGCGGAAAATTTTCAAGTATTTTCAGAAATCGTTTGTATTTTTAATTTTATCCCATAAATTTGTTGTTTTTAAATTTGGGGTAGCTACTTTGCGCCAAATTTTTTGCGCAGCTCGCCATAACTTTCTTCTAAGTGGGCCAATCTTTATGATTGTAGATCTCAACAAGTGCAACAAAGTAACACCAAAATAATAAGTTGGTCCATAGAAGATTTGAACCACTTAGAGCCACTTTAATATCGGTTGGGGATTGATATCGGTTTGGCTGAATGGATCGGGATCGTCGAGCCGGGAAGAAACGAGTGACAAGCCGGATTATCTGAAATGAAGCGGCTAATCAATTCGAAAAAGCTGAAATTTCTTTCAAAAGAACCCATGGCTGGATGGGTCGTTCTTGAGACGCCATCAACTTTCTTTGGGGCACCAACTTGTCAAAAGCTGCCGACCAAATTTGAGAGGCCATCGTCGCCATTCTGAGGCTGAACAAGACAATCAAAGAGGCGATTACAAGCACATTGTTGCTTCGATGAGACGGCGGTTTGGCTGGATGCTTCGACGAGCAAGTGTATCAAAGCGGTTGGAGCCAAAGAAGTTGGTGTTCTCACCCGCGGCTATGACAAGATGAATATATCCGTGATGCTCACTGCTCGTTCCGATGGGAAAGTTGCCCTTTTGTCGTGGTGCATCGGAAAACGATGAACGAAAAATCGAGACAAAGCTCAATCAAAATCATTGCTCTGTTGGAAGAGAAGAAACGCAAGTGCTTCGATATGAGATCACGGCGGAATACTTGTCGCTCTTTCGGTGGACTTAACTTTAATCTATTGTACAGGCGATGAGAAATGCACGGACAGAGACAGAAATTGAGAACCTCTTGGAGCCGCTGGCATCAACGGAATTTCAAGGACATCGAGGAATTGATGATCAAGAAAATAATGAATTCATTGAGTGATAACTGACTATTGATTTCGCTTGTTAGTTGTTTTTGTTTCGTTTTGCTGTTAAATTTTCAAATGGTTGAAACCAATAAAAACTAAAGAAAAAGTTTGCTTTTGAACAGATTATTTAGATGTATCCTGATTTGGTAACTCGAATAGTGGTGTAAAATAGTAACCCACCCTCTAATAGTGCCCCACCCTCTAATAGTACCCCACCCTAGAGGGGGAGGGAAAAAATAGTACCCCATGGGGTCCAATTACAGTATTTACGGTAATTAATAATAAAAAAACCAGCTAATCACCAAATCAGGTCACTTTTGCCTCTCTGCGATCGGTGTTCGATACGGTCAAAGAAGCCCTCACCTATCCCCAACTTCGAGTTATTGCAATCATTGCTGAAGGAGTTCCAGAAAATCAGGTAAGACAACGAAAAGGACAAACATAGCTATTGTATTTAGACGAGAAAGTTGATCAAATTGGCTGATGAAAGAGGTGTGACGATTATCGGACCGGCTACTGTTGGTGGAATCAAACCCGGGTGCTTCAAGATTGGAAACACTGGAGGAATGATGGACAATATCTTAGCTAGCAAGCTGTATCGATCGGGAAGGTATCTTCAATTAGTTTATCAATGTTAATCACAAATTTGCACTTAACTTGCAAAGCACAACTTTGACCCTTTTAAGGTCGAAAGTAATACTCGATGCATAATTCACCGATCGAGTTACGGTTTGCTCAAATCGCAAAGGTTTATTGACTATTTTCCCTCATTTTTGAGCAGGTTTGGGCCCGAAGAACAGCAATTTTAGAAGAAATTTCAAGCGAAAATCCTTATTTTTCATCAAGTTCTGTAATGAGATGTAAGACAAAAACGTCTTAAACAAATCAAGCTGAAATTTTGGTTATCTGTCTGACTTTTTTCTTTTGAAACCACAATTGGTTTGCTGTGGGAAAAAGTGCTCAAATTGTATCATCGATGTCTCTCCATTACTTGTCTATTAAAAAGCTGAAAATTTCAAGCTTTTCCTAGTCTCCTAAAAAAAGCATTTTACAGAGAAACAATAGAGCTTTCTGATAGAGAAAACCGTAACTCGATCGGCTGATTATTCATTGAGAAAAGAAAGTTTTAACACCTGAATACAAGACTTAGTACTCGACCTAATTCAAAAATCAAATCATAACATTAATGTCATTTTCCAGTGTTGCTTATGTGTCTCGCTCTGGTGGAATGTCGAACGAGCTCAACAACATCATCAGCAGCAACACTGATGGCGTTTTTGAGGGAGTCGCGATTGGAGGTGATCGTTACCCAGGATCCACTTACACCGATCACATCATGAGATATCAAAATGATGACAGGTATGACTGTCTGTACCATTGTTGTAGTTAAGTCTTTTCCAGAGTCAAAATGATGGTGTTACTTGGCGAAGTCGGTGGTACTGAAGAGTACAAGATCGTTGAAGCACTGAAAGCCAAACGAATCACCAAGCCGATTGTTGGATGGTGCATTGGGACCTGTGCTGACCATATTACTTCAGAGGTTTTTGACGAATTAATCTTTTTCTACCTATGTTTAGGTACAATTTGGTCATGCTGGTGCCTCGGCAAACGCTCAAGGAGAAACGGCGGCAGCGAAGAATTCAGCTCTTCGTGCAGCTGGAGCCATTGTTCCCGCTTCGTTCGATGATTTGGGAAAAGAGATTCGAAAGGAATATGAGAGACTGGTCTCCAATGGAACGATCATTCCAAAGGAAGAAGTCCCACCACCAGCTGTCCCAATGGACTACTCATGGGCTCGAGAACTTGGACTCATTCGGAAACCGGCTTCATTCATGACCTCGATTTGTGATGAGAGAGGAGAGGTGATGTATTAGGTTGAGTACTAACAAGGGAAGGTCAACTGCCAAATGCTATGCGACCTATACCAGTCGACGCAGAATTTTATGTTGATTCCGAATATTGATTCCGTTTTTGCTAGCTGAACAATCTACCAGGAGTTATAAGCGTTTAAAGTTTTGTTAGGACTCTGAAAATGTGGGACTCTGAAAAATAAAATTCTGAATGGTATAGGTCGCATAGCATTTGGTTGGTTTAGCTAGTTGACCTTCCCTTTTCAGAAACTTTCAAAAGTCATTTGCAAGAGAAATGCAAGTCAATTGCAGGGGGCTATCTAATGAAAAAAATTCATTTGGTAGCTTAAGACTTATTTAATTTGGAATTTGGAATTTGGAATTTGAATGAATTTGGGTGAAAGACTTAGTATTCAACCCAATATTTTGATTCAAAGTAAACCTTAAAGTTAAACTGTTGGTTAACCCGTTATACTAATATCTTTAATGTACTGCCATTTCCAGGAACTTCTCTACGCCGGTGTTCCGATTACGCGAGTCTTGGAAGAAGAGATGGGTGTTGGCGGTGTCCTCTCGCTTCTCTGGTTCCAGGTTTCTCCCAGTACTTTATTGACCTAATTCTGGTCCGTGCCATCACTTCAATTTACCCGTTTTCTTTACCATTTTTCTTTTTATTTACCAATTTAGAAACGTTTGCCCGATTATGCGAACAAGTTCATCGAGATCTGCCTAATGCTCACCGCTGATCACGGACCTGCCGTCTCCGGAGCGCACAACACGATCGTTTGCGCCAGAGCTGGCAAAGATCTCATCTCATCGCTTGTGTCCGGATTGCTCACAATTGTTGGTTTAACGTGATATTAGAAGTCTTACCGTACAAGAACAAGCAATTAGCAATGATAAAACAACTGTAATTTAGGGGGACCGTTTCGGTGGCGCACTCGATGGAGCCGCAAAGACTTTCGCGGAAGCGTTCGACAAACAACAAAGTGCTCATCAATTTGTCAATGAAATGCGCCATCAAGGAAAACTGATTCCTGGCATTGGACATCGTGTGAAATCGGTTTGAATAGCAAAAAAAATCGAAGGAATATTTTTAAAATCTAGATTAACAACCCTGACAAACGAGTGGAGATCCTAAAGAAGTTTGCTCTCAACCGTGACATCTTCAAGCAAGAAACCCCGCTGTTGAACTTTGCGCTTGATGTTGAAAGGATCACTACTGCCAAGGTTTGACCTAGCATTAAAATTATCTACTATATATAAAAGAGGGGTGTCTGTCTGTTTGTCTCGTCTGCCTGTACGGGCATTTTCTCGACCCTGTTTTGACCAATAAAGCGAAAGCTTCTTTAGAAAATCTTAGAGCATATTGTAGTTATGCTATTTAAAATTAAACCTTAAAAAATAAAAATTCATTGGCACTACGGGGGCCGAACCCGGCTCGTGTGGGCCTAGACGAGCGCCCCCGACTGCGCTACGGCGATGGAGATGTCCCGGAGAATATTCAGCCCCTAATCGCGCGCTTTTCCGGCTGGACGTTGGTTGCTGTAGCGCAGTCGGGAGCGCGCTTGTCTACGGCCCAAACTATCCGGATTCGATTCACGGATGCTTCACCCAACTTCGATTTTTAAAATTTTTTGAATGGCACAACTACAATATATTCTAAAGAAGTTTTAGCTTTATTGGTCAAAACATGGCTGAGAAAAGACAGACAGACAGACACTGATCTTTTATACAGTGTTGAGCAAAATTACTCGGACAAAAGTTCTTCATTGTAACTTTCCAGCCAGCCAATTTAACCGTATAATTTTCTCCATAGTATAAATTTATTCATTTCTTAACCTATTAGAACATTACTGAAAAGAAAAATTCGTTGACCGGTTTTTCTTTCGAACGAAGAAGCATCAGGTAAAATTGATCCTGGCACGGAGCTTCATTTTCCCCCTTTTCAGCACTTTTTTGGTTTCTGAAAAGCTCCAGAAAAAACAATATTAAGACTAGAAAAATGTGACCACTTTTTTTGAGGATAATTAAGAGTTTATTGAAAAAGAATTATAGGAGAAACGGTTGACGAGTAACATTCAAACCAGTTTCTTGTCCGGGTAATTTTGCCCAATCCTGTATAGAGTAGATCGACTATAGAAATTGGAAGCGATTAAACTCAGATCAAGCTAAAAACTGTAAACTGTTTAGAAGCCAAACCTTATTCTCAACGTTGATGGAGCCATTGGAGTGATCTTTGTAGACATTTTGAGGCAATCAGGCTTGTTTACGCAAGCGGAAGCTCAGGAAACGATCGAAATTGGATCGTTGAATGGACTTTTTGTACTTGGACGATCCCTTGGCTTCATTGGTGAGTTAGAAAAATAACAGTTGATTAGAAATCTCAATTTCTAAACTTAAAACATATTAATCCAAGAAAAATAGGCAGATCTAATGTCAATATCAATATCAAGGCCGATCAGAAACACCTTAATAAAGAGATAGAGAAAGAGAGAGAGAGAATAGAGAGAATAGAAATAAATCTGAAAAATAGAGAGATCTAACAAGAGTGTAAGATTTAAACGTTTCAAAGATTCAAGGAAGACCCTCAGAACTGTCCTTGGCTACTATCTGAGCTCTAGGCCTCTTTTAGCTCTTCGAATTTGCAAAACCCAACGTAAAGCAGAACTCCACGATTAGAACAATAGAACTATTGGACTTTAGGCTCTTGCGTGGTTTCCAGTTATTTTGAGCGGGTCGTCAAGCTTTGAAGGCCTATAACTTTGTCCAGAAATAATATTTTTGTTAACTTTTTATATCATTATACAGAGGACATTTCAGGCTTTCAAATAATACCAAATAGAGCTTGACTGGATTTTTCATTCCCATGCAAACAAGGCGGCACAAAGTTGGGTAGGCCTCATTTGCTCAGAGTTGGCTCTGACTTTCTTGGACTTGATTATCCAATCAAGGTCTATTTGGTATCATTTGAAAGCCTGAAATGTCCTCTGTATAATGATATAAAAATTTAGCAAAAATATTATTTCTGGACAAAGTTATAGGCCTTCAAAGCGTGATGACCCGTTCAAAATACCCGAATTCTTTCAAAATATCCGGATTCTTTCAAAATACCCGAAAACTACGCAAGAGCCGGACTTTAAAATGCAGCAACCAATCGTTTACATTCCAGGCCATTACCTCGATCAGCGCCGTCTCAAACAAGGTCTTTACCGTCATCCATGGGATGACATCACTTATGTTCTCCCTGAAGGCGAATTCGATCGGGTACGATTTTCAAATTACTAAAGCACGTGAATGCTTACGTTCTAGTGCTAGACATTTTACCAGCTAATTGCTTCTATTTGCTTTGTCATTTTTTTTGTTATGTTTTACACGTCAGGCGAACGACGAACGAAAAGCAAAGCATGGATAAAATTGGTTTTCATTTTGCAAGGTTTGCATGAATACTTAAGGTTTTCTGGGTTTATTTTTCCCTTTTGAACCACTGTGCTTTGCTTGTGAAAGTCTTTTTTGGGGTGAAGTTTTCGTTGTTTTAGTTGACTTTCGAGTAAAACGAAGGAACAGGAACACCGGTATTTAGCATGAATGAAAATGAGAACGATTCCGAAGCTCCAGCTCAATTTTAAGCTTAACTTACTTTATAAATGCGTAGCTTGCCGAGCGACATTCGGCTCTCAACTTTGGAAGACCATATGAAAAAGTTGAAAGCTGGAATCGATTAGATAATGGGCACCGTTCCAGGAAAAATGCTTAAGATTTACCTCCAGAAAAATCAGAACAATTAACCCAATTTTGGCCAATCTAAGTCCTCTGAAGTGCGGCGCTATAATTTCAGGTCACCCTGTATTATAGCTAACTGACTCGTCCATTAGGGTTTTCAGTTCAATTGAGCCGAGGAAACGGAACCGTTCTCCAATTTTAATCAAGATATAAATGACGTCGAAAATCCTAACAAATGGGAGCGGCTAAATAAAGCACTCTTGTCCAGAATCTGTGGCACCCATAAATGTTGACCTGTTCTCGAACGTGAATTCAATTCTAATTTAGGAATGAGCTTTAACTACAATCGGCTTCTTCCACTCCAAGTCCAAACCTTTTTCCATCTTTTTTTCCCTGTCATTGATGTGTTATGATTTGGTTTTCATTGTTAGTAACTTATTCTTTAGTCTTTAAATTCAAATAATTTGTGATTTAAGAATAGTCTCTCGGAAAAACGATTTAGGTTGTACTTTCTTGTCAAAGTTCGTATTGTAAAATTTCATTGTTCTAAGCAATTCGTTTCCCAAAAGGTGGATAATTTGAAAAACTGCCGTAATTATAGCTAGCTTTCCTATTTGATAGCTTTTAAGAAACTTTCAATTCTAGACACCTTAACCGAACCAAATATTGGCTCAATCTTTTTCAGATTTTGTCCGATTTACATAATTTTGATTTTATTTAATCAGGAACTGTAAAAGAAATGGGATCAAATTGAAGTAAAATGGACAAAATTGAAAGGAGAGATCATGGTAGCTTTTCAAATTATCCATTTCTGAAGGAAAGAGTTTAGAAAACACAAAAAGTCTCTTATCCCTTATAGTATCCCGAAAAAAGTATTCAGTCAACAAAGCTCAATATCTTTAGCTTTAATTGAAGCCTTTGAAAGATAGCTGAATACTTTTTAACATACTGAAAGTGAAACAAAAATCTGAGAACTGGCAGTATCTCGTGTGCATTTTTCGTGTTGTGTTTATTTGATTTTTTTTTACTAAATAGCATCATATGAATTAGAGATAAAAGTGTGCAAATGTACGATATTTGAAAAAACAAATACATAGATACACAATATCCTGAGAAAGTACACAAAAAAAATTGAATCACCGAGACAAATATTGGCAGCAAATGGGAATTGAGTACCTTAGCACTTTGGGAACTTTAAATTCATTTTTTAATCGTGTATTGGGGTTAACAAAGTGCAAAAGTCCGAGAAAATAGCTCCATTCAAGTAAATAGAAAGACGGAAAAGATAAAAAATAATAACATTGAAGAAATTATTGAAATTTGAGAAGAGACTGAATTGAGGGGTTCTCCATTGCAAAGTTCTCCAGCACAGGAACAGATTCTAAAAATATGGGCTTTTGTTCTACCAATTAAACTCGAGTCTTCATAAAATGAATAGCTCCAATCGATTCTCCGGTCCCGAAAACCCCCGGGCACAAATTTACAGATGAATATCTTCTTTTTGTACAAGCTACAAAGCAAAAGAAAATCTATATGTAAATGAGTGGCGAGGTGTTCTTTGTGCGGCCCAGAATCGGTTCCGAATGGAAATCTTCCAAGTCTTCGAAAAGGTTCAAATTCATCAATATAGTCTTTTTGAGAACGCTTTTATACATTTCAAACTCTATTACTGATAGCCTAAACAATCAAATGATTTAGGGAATCGCATAGAAACAAGATGAACAGTTTGAAGACCCCGGATTGACCCCGAATCGGCCCCGAGTCGGTTCCGAACGATAATGTTCCAAGTCACTATTTAATTCGCTAGTAGTGAGTTTAGTTGTCATTTTTGGGCGTTACTATGCCCAAATCCTTGAGAAAACTTTTTGCTTTAAATTTGGCTGTATTCTTTACAAAACTGATTGTAAGTTTTTTCAATTTCGCTTTCAATTTCAATTTCAATTTCAACTCACTTTATTTGGCTATCAAAGGGTCGTCCACCATTGATGACCTGCGAGAGATTCGCGTTGAAGCATCCCTGCTTCGAGGCCATCTTCCCGGCGATACCCGTTCTGAAAAAAAACAAACTTTAAAGATTGAATTTCCATAATAATCAAAATGTCTTTTTACTGACCGATTAAATCCAAAGACAAAGATCGAGTTGTAGCAACCGCGAATGAAGGCTTTCGCTCCAACTCCTAAACGTTTGTGTCCAAAATTATGGATTTTGATGTAGCAAGTGATTTTTGAGACTTTAGGCCGGGAAAACATGCAACACAGAATTCTTAACAGATTAACTTAACAGTCTAGACCACTTTTTTCACATGCTTTTGTTGCTGTGGGTGAGCTTGACTTGAATTTCCAGGTTTCATAGTTTGGTTGTTTGGCTTTCTAGGAGCATTATTTAACAATAATTTGTTATGCCAGTGTTCTTACAAGTCTTACAGGTCAGCTATCGTTTTTGAAAGCAACAAACACTTGGTCGTTTAACTAACTGAGTCTTGCTTCACTATAGAGGGTGACCAGAAATAACCCGGACAAACCTTTTTGACCCGATCGTCATGGACTAAATAAAAATCCCTTTAAAGATTGTTAATTATACGCTCTTAGTAACTTTAATCCAAAAGATTTTGGCCGTTTCTGTAAGTTCTAGGAGTTGAAAGAAGCAGCTCGACCAAAATCCTTGCTCTTTTTGCACAAACGCGGTTCGTTCTCAACATGCAAATGTTGAGAACGAACGAATTTTAAGAATTTTAACGAAAATATTTAAACTTTTTCCTATTAGAAAAATAATATTTGCGTTTGTTAGCTACAAAATCACAATTTTTACAGACCAAAATAAAAGTCTGCTATTTTCAATGTGAAAATTGTGGTTGAAAATCGGTTTTAGAGGAATTTCTGATAGCAAAAATGGTCTTATATTAAAAATAAGTTCAAATTTGGCTATTTAAAGTCAAAAATATCTTATTTTTTTTTAAAAATCTGTGCGTTTGAACCGCGTTTGTGCAAAAAGAGCAGTGACCACAGAGGGTTATCTACTTACAGAAAAGGTCTACAGCCTACAGACTTACAGAAAAGGTCTACAGATTAAAATCTTTTGAATTTGATTTACTAAGAGTGTATAATTAACGATTTTTAAAGGTATTTTTATTTAGTTCATGAAGATCAAGTCAAAAAGTTTTGTCCCGGTTATTTCTGGTCATCCTGTAAAAGCTCCAACTCAAATCTCAGACCCCGGAATGGGACTTTCAAGGGTTAAGAGGGGACACTGATTACGGAATGGATGGGATAAAGTGGATCCGATCTCTCAATAAGAAAGAGAAAAGAAAAGGGAGAAGGCCAATCGAGTCCGGAAATGATTCCCGAAAAGAGGATAGGGCTCTCTTGACCCCCAAGGACCTTCCGATATAAAAGAGACACCCTAATTTAGGCCAACCAGTCTTCACTGCATTGATAGAGCCACACAATCAACTTGCATATGGCCGCTACTTACGGAAATTTAGAGATTAGGAGAATTTTAGAACTAATCAAGTGTTAGAAGTTGACTAATGCACAGGAATCTACCTCAAGTCATTGTTCTGTCTAAAATTTCCAACTTTCAACTCTAGTTTAAAGTTTTTTTGGATATTGTTATGTTCAGAGCTTTTTTCGGAGATAAACTTGCACTTTTCTTTGAGAACTTTGCTGAGAACTTTGCAATTTTCACAGATTGTCCTCATTTGAGTGTTTCAACCATGACACATGTTTGATTGGGGATGAGGAGAATGAGTGACACGATTGGTGACATCAGAAAGGAAAATTGAGACAATCACTATGGGATAAGGGAAATTTTAGTGAAATCTTAACTTTAGCTAAGCCTTGCAACGAAGATTTTCATAAAATTAAGCTTAATTCCATTAAATTCGGGTCAAGTGAAGGACTTCTTAGAGAGAATTGTTGTATCAGTTGGTTCGGTTTCGATTTTACGATTGAATTTCAAAGGATCCACCTCTTTGATGGCTTTGATTCAAGATTTGTATCAATAAATTACAGTACTCACCAATTTTGAGATCCTCGACCATGGTGATGCAATTTGAGGTCTCGTCACAGTGCTGCACCGGCACATCGGCGCCTCTTGCCAGCGGCTCACCGCAGTCATCAGTGAACGTGAGTGGTTCCTCAAATAAAAATATTAATAGACTTTTTATAGTGCTCCGTGAAGGATTGATAATTTGAAAACTCACAAGATAAATCTTCGAGTAGCCGGCAAAGTGCCACGTGGCGCCATAGTATCTTGACATGCAGCTGAAGCACTTGTGCTTGGCTCCATGAGCTGAAAGGTGATATTAATCAATCTAGAGGATCAACTAATGAGTGTCAAGTCTTGTATTTAACTCAATTCTTTCTATAGTTCTTTCAATTCAAATGGATTCGTTATTAAGATAAAGATTCACCATTGTTTTCACTTTTTCCACCCATCAATATTGGTGCACTCGATCTATTTAAATCTATTCGGCTGTCCAGAAAATCTTTCCGTTTATTTTCGTACTACCGTTGAAAAATAACAAACACGCTAATTAACCTATGGTTTCCTTTAAAAGTGTTTATTTTTCAATTTCCCATCTTTTTACGTTAATTTAATTCAACTTTCAAGGAAATTCGAAAGTGGAAACACGTGTTTTTGGTAAAAATCTATAGAAACCTTTACGAAGAAATTGACTGAATCAATTTCGCCGAAAATTTGGCTATATACCAAACTTTTTGTGCTCTATCTTTTATCTATTGGCACCAAGATAGGTTTCCTTAGCTAAAGTGTCTAAACCGCATCATCGAGCCGCCTTTTCGACTACCCGACTTGATGCTCCCAAAAAAATCCAGACATACGACATTTGAAACGCGTTTTAATGTTATTTTGCAGGAAAATAAGTGGCCTTTCTAATAAAACAAACCCTAGTTCAATTGGTGCATTTGTTGGTTTTAAGGGGAAGTACGAAAAGGAACGAAAAGACTTTCTGGACAGTCTAATACACTAGAATGCCAAGTCTAGTAGAGTTCAGGATCACAAGATGTACTAGAGTAAGACTAATTCGTTGTGGAAAAGTGTCACTGTTGCTAGCGTTTGCTCACCAATATGCACATATCCAGCATCTACTCGCTCTTGGTCACAGAGTATGAGCAGGAAAATGAGTGAGCCGATGAATAGTGAAATATGCATTGCCGCCTCATCATCGCCCAAACATAGGGATTCCTGGAATTGATTTAAAAAGGCTTGTGCAATACTGAATTGAATTAAAGAACCAATTAGAAAATTAGAAACAAAATTAGAATTAGAAATTAAAGAACCAAATGGAAAATTAGAATTAGAAACAATCTTGTTTTAACAACCAAAAATACGGAAATCATAAAACAAACAAGGTTATTTAGCTTCTTTTTATACAAAGTTTATATGAAGAAAATGTAATTCTACCAAGTCACTTGAGCCGTAAAATTTTCAGATTTCTCCGAGAAAACAAAACCTTATCAATAAAAACAAAACCTTATCAATAAACAAAAGCTTATCGTCTAATCAACAAAATCTTAAGAAGTATTTGAAGAAGATTCTGAAGTCATATCAATGAAAATCAAAAAGAAAAAGAAGTCTTATCTATAAAAATTCTCTGGATTGACAAATCTCTCTTTTGCTTTCAAAAAACGCAAATCCCGGATAATTTTTCCGTAATCAACGACCAGAAAAGAGATTTTTGATTTTTTGATCAAAGTGAAGTAACTTTTTGACAAGTTTCAAAGATTACAAAAACAATGTAAAGTTAAGAAGCTGTTGGATTTTGTCCAAAAAACTGCAATCTAAACTAGCATTAGACTGCCATTAGCCGGATTGATTCCCGATTTCACTGCTCCTTTTTACTACATTCTCTACATAATTTAATCGTTTAAAACCTCACGTGGCATAGATGGTTTTTAACTAACTGCTTAAAATTAAACAAAATAAAGGCCTTCAAGGGTTTCAAGAAAAAAAACCCCACTAACCGTTTGAAAGTTTATTGGAAAATATAGCAGTGTGTTAACTTGACTAAAAAAAACTACAGGATGTTTAGTATTTACGGCGACTTCTTTTTGGTCGATTAGCTCCCAAGTTTAACCCTAATGTGTTAAGTCTTATATAAAATATTAAAGCCCTTAATCTTGGCTACATTTATCTATTAAAAGTTTCCCGATTCGAGATATAAAACTGATTTTATAAGCCCTTAAATGAGTATTAGTTGATCCTTAATTTTTGGCCACCAAAGGAACTTGACTTCAACTCAAAACTGAGTAACACGATTGGGTCAAAAAAAGTTCTTAATGTTATTAAATAGTGTTAAATAATATTATAACATAAAATAAATATCGAAAAACTTTTTCTGACAATTTATTATAATGAAAATTGCCAAAAATGACAACATGCTGGAGAGAGATCAACTAGTACTCATTCAGGGGCTTGTAAAATGAGTTGTATATCTCCAATCGGGAAACTTTTAATAGATAAATGTAGCCAAGATCAAGGGCTTCAACATTTTGTATAACACTTAACAGATTAGGGTTGAACTTGGCGTCTGGGAGCTAATCTACCAAAAAGAAATCGCAGTAAATACTGAACACCCTGTAGACAGATCTATTTAGGTTGTTTGAATTTTACAAAAGCATGAACAAGCAAAAACTTTAGCACCGTAACGTTTTTATTTTAAAATATCCAAGAGACTTTTTATGTAATTGAAAAATCTTTGCTGCTTTGCATTGCGTGCAGTGTACTGTGTTTATGAACCAGAGAATCAGTTAGAAAAAACCAAAGTAAAATATCAAACATTGTCTCCAATTGCAACATTACATGCTTAAAAAAAATGGTGTCAAAGAGCAAAAAGGTGTGCAAGTGTTGGTATTTGAGATGTCTTTTAGTTAGGAAAGAAGGGGCTGACCAAGGGAAAGGCTAAGTGAAAAGAGAGTCCAACGGAGGGGGAGAGGCTCGTGTGTCGCAAAATGAGCCCCTTCCAGCAGTACCCTCCTCTATTGCTTGCCTGCCCCTCCCTCCACACATTCACCACTTCTCACATAACCCGTGAAAAAGATATGGAAAGACGAGTAGTTTGAGAAGCTTTTGGCCACACCTTTTCCTAGCGTCTAATGAGCAAAGGTTTTGGTTTTAAACGGATCAGCGACTTGAACGGGAAGGGAATCTGGTACTATGGCGGTTTTTGCCAGCAAACAGCAATAGACATAACTTACCGTAAATACTCTAATAGAGCACCACCGCCTCGTACAATTGCGTAATTTAGCTCATTAGACTCCTTAGATTTTTTCTAACTACACTTTTGGTACCAAAAAACCCTAGATTTCAAGAGCTATCATTTGACACCTAAGCACACACTATAGCATAAAGTAGTGCGGAGAACGAACGTTCAAAGTTAGACTACGCGACTGTACGTCCGTCATTATGGGGATGATGTTCTATTGGAGTATTTACGGTAACTGCTATGCCTTTTATGGTAGATAGAACTTCTTAAAAATAGATAGAATTTCAGAAAACGATGTTGATTGGTTTTGCTTACATAAAGATTGGATCAGGTACAGTGCCGGACGGCAAAATTATAAGATTAAGAGTTTTTAGAGGAAAAATGACCAATCCATCCTTGAAATTAAGCAAAAGTTCAAAGTTAAGTTCTTATTTTTCATAAATCTAAAGCAGCATCACTCAAAGCAAATAAAGAGACTTCTTGCTTTTTGCTTAAAAAATTTTGCCGGACAAAATTATAGGACCTTTACATTGGAAAATTATAAAGGCAAGAATGTAAAAGTAGCTTAGCAGAATCTTCTGCTACTGAAACCAAGTTTTTCAGGCGTCAAAAACTTCAAAGATTATTTCTACAATTTACAATTTGCAAATTTACAAATACAATTACAAAAACTTTCATGTCTTCTTCTTGAAAAATTACAGACCTAAGAGTAAAAAAAACTCAAAATTTCCTACATTTTTGTCAAATTTCCAATTTAAAGGTCCTATAATTTTGTCCCGAAAAGTTTGTTAAGAAAAAATTTGCATGAAGAAGTCCGTGCTCTTTGTTTACTTTGAGTGATACTACTTTAGATTGATGAAAAATAATAACCTAATTTCGGAAGAAGAATAATAAAAATATTAACCTACTTTTGCTTGATTTCAAGAATGGATTGGCCATTTTTCCTCTAAAAACTCTTGGTCCTAGAATTTTGTCCGATACTGTATGTTCCAACAGGCCAAATTATAGCAAACCCAACGAGGACCAAATATTTAGTCGCTTTCTATTTTTTAATAGATTATGAAATGTATTCCTTAATAAGTCAACGGCTTTCAAATAAGTCAACAGCTTAAATTTGAAGGATCTATAAACAGTAGGTTGTCCAGGATGAACGATATTCGGGTTATGGATCTAAAAAACTAAATCGAAAAATCGAACTGAATAACCAAGCCATTTTTAACTTAAAAATAAGTATTGAACTTTTTGATGATCAACTAGAAATCTTTGCCATTTTATCAAAAGGTGCAGCTTCGCCCTATTCTTCCGATTGCAGTTCTCATTCCCTTTTCACTGAAAGGATCTCCAATTTCCGGCACCCAATTAGGAGTCGTCAAATCGGGCCAACCACTAACAAGAAGTGATATTCTCCTTTTACTTTTCCTTCGTCTCAATATTTCTACTTTTTATTCCATAGGGAGATGATTGCCTCTAAGCCATTTACTTGGTAAAAAAGCTGAAGAAATGTTACAAGAATTAAGACTGACATACGAAAGATAGGTGTTATTTGAGACTCATCGGGGTTTGGAGATAAAAAACGATAAACAGAATAAAAAGAGAGCTGCTGAAGAAAGAAAAATACGGGTTAGCCAGATTGCTTTGTGCTTTGAAATGGAAAATAATCATTTTTAAAGCATTGCGATCTTCAGTTTGCTTGCAAAATGCGCTAGAAAAGGTTTTTTTAACTTTGTGCTTAAAGTAAAAGTCTAGATTTGTCTAGATTGAAGAGAAAGTTAAAGGGGAAGTTGAAGAAAAAGCTTTCTATCAAACTAGATTTGTCAAGTTTGATAGAAAATCGAAAAGTGTATTAGCTCAGATGATAGAAAACAAAAACACTTGTACAACATGAGATAATTTTTCAGATTAGACAAAAATAACATTGTTTTCTGTCAAAAATTTAATATCTTCTTTAGAATCAAAAGAAATTTGTTTAAAAAAGAAAACAAGGGCTTTGAATTGGCCTTTTAACAGCACGGAACGCGAATTGGACGGGCGAGTCTGAAGGAATTTTTGAAGAAAAAGGAGAACTGAAGGGTTAGGAAGAAAATGGGAGTGGAAAAAAAAGAAAAGACAAAAAAAGAAGTCACGGAATCAGAAATTCATTGCGCAAAAAGCAAGGCAATATACTTGAAACGAAGAGGGAAAAGGCACATTTTCGAGCTCTTTTTTTGCGAACGACAGGAGTGAATCATATTTTCAGAATATAAGACAAAGAAGAGAACTTGATTCTACCAGGAATTCGATCTCCAACTTTTGAAAAACTTATAAATAAGTCAGATTGGTAAGATTCTAAACTTTTCAAATTATTGATAATTTCTATGAGCAAATATACACTACAAGACACAAGACAAAAAAAATCAGTCTACAAGACACTTTTGACAGAGCGTAATTGAGCGTAATTGAGCAAAACCACAACGTAAATGGTGCGCTAGAAATTCAAAAAACCTTTCAAAAATCATGGATTTTAAGGTCATTTTTATCAAAATTTTGTCTGCTTGGTACACCGAAGACCTACTTTTTTGAATTCAGGAAATTTTGGCCAAAAAAATGAGTGCTGTCTTTTCGCTAAAGGCGGTGGTCAATCTGTGTGCAACAATGTTGATTCAAGCCAACTTGTCCAACTAATTTACATTTAAACTTGAACTTTAATTTTAGTTTAATTTACATTTAAACTTTAAAAGCTATGCTGAAAACGAGTTGGATTAACACGAACAAACTATCAGTATCGTACAAAAAGTAATCCTTGAACTAAACGAAGCACCAATCGTCAAGGAAATAACGAAAAAAGGAAATGGAACTCTTGCAGTGTTTGAATCGGAAAGATTGAAACCCCCTTCTTTTACCTATTCCCTTTTTTCCCCATTTCAAAGCGAATTCCCCCTTTTCTCAGTAATTGTTTTTCTTTACTCAGCTTCCAAATAATTATAGACCTCTAGTGGGAGGTCTTTTTGCTGGAAAAATATAAAATTTACACGAAACTCGAAACGAACTGAAGGAAAATTTATTGTTTTTCCCTTTTTCTTTATGAGTCAATTGGATTGATTGAAAATGGGATTGAATGGACTTTTGAAAGGAACAAAAATCAGGAAAATGAGCCAATGACAAATCCTTTCGAAGCAAATTCTTATAATCAAGATTTTTCAAATTTTTAAAACCAAGTGACACTGAAAGTTTAAGCCATTCAAAGGTTTAGTTTAAAAGCTAAGTTCAAGCTAAAGGTTTAGTTTAAAGCTTATTAGCTTGAAATCATTAGCAAACGTGTTCTTTCAAGTGTAGGTTGTGTTAAAAAGGGAAACACACACTGTCTGGCATACTTAAAGTTTACTTTTTCAGCAAAAGTATTCTTCGTACAGAAGTACAGGCTCTAGCAAGTGCAATTTTCCATGTTTGACAGAAGAAAAAACGTTGAGTGCAACGGGAAAGACAATTCAATGTACCAGAAAGAAGTGTTTCCACTTTTTGAGGAAAAAGTAGACCTAAACAACAAGATCTATAGAATCGGAAGATATAGAATCTAACGAATCCTTGTGATTTCAGAGTTATACAATCCAATGATTTCATCTGAAATCTCGAAAAATCCGAATAGAAGCCCCATCAGGGGCCAAATCCACAAGCGAATCAATATCAAACGCCCGCAAATAATCC